AAGTGAGCCCCACTCCATGCGACATGTGCACTGTAGCCATGGCCACTCCTCACAGCCAGGTCAATCCCATTTACTAACGTGCCGATAGCAATCAAGGCTCAGCTACAACAGAAAGGCATACATAACCCATCAAAGAGACAACCCTGGAGAACCTGGCTCAGATGACCAGGGAGACTGCACTTTAAGTCCACTCTGGCAACACTGGGAGACATAGCAAATCTACTTAACTAACAGAAGCAAACACAGGGAAGAAGCCAAAATGGAGAGACACAGAAACATGTCCCACAGTGAAAGAACAGAACTCCAAAAAAAGAACTAAAAAAAATGGAGGCAAGCAATCTTAAAGATACAGAATACAAAACACTGTTTATAAGAATGCTCAGGGAACTTAGGAAAAGACCAGATGAACTCAGTGAGTACTTATACAGAGATAGAAATCAGAAAAAGAAACCAGTCAAAAATGAAGAATACAATAACTAAAATGAAGAATACATTAGATGGAAACAACATCAGATTAGATAAAGCAGGGGATCAAATGAGCGACTTGAAAGCCAAGGTAGCAGAAAACACTCATTTAAAACAGTAAAAACAAAAAAGGAATCGCCCTGAAAAAAACTGAGGATAGTTTAAAGGACCTTTGGGACAACATCAAACACACCAACATTCACATCATAGGGGTACCAGAATAAGAAGAGGGTGAGCAAACATGAGTTTATTTGAAGATATAATGACTGAAAATTTCCCTAATCTGGTGAAAGAAATAAACATGTAAGTCCAGGAAACACAGAAAAACCCAAACAAAATAGAGCCAAAGAAACCTGTATCAAAACACATCATATTTAAAATGCCAAAAGTTAAAGACAAAGAAGGAATATAAAAAGCAGCAAGAGAAAGATATTTTCCTGCAAGCATTTCTCAACACAAATTTTGGAGGCCAGGAGCAATTGGCAGGATGTGTTCAAAGGGATGAAAAGTATATACCATGCTCACAGATAGAAAGAATCAATATCCTTAAAATGTCCTTACTACCTAAAGTAATACACAGATTCAGTGAAATCTTTATTAAAATACCGATGGCATTTTTCACAGAACTAGAAGAAAAATCCTCAGATTTACACAGAATCACACAAAAAAGCCCATAGCCAAAGGAATCTTGAGAAAGAAGAACAAAGAAGAAGGTATCACATTACCTGAAATCAAACTGCACTACAAGGTATAGTATCAAAACAGCATGGCACTGGCATAAAAACAGACGCATAGATCAATGCAACAGAATAAAGATCCCAGAAATAAACCCACACCAATATGGTCAATTATTTCACAAAGGATCCAAGAACATACAATGGGGTAAAAAGAGTCTATTCAATAAATGGTGTTGGGAAAATTGGATAGATACATACAAAAAAAAAAAAAGAAAAAAGAAACTTGGCCACCTTCTTACACCATATACAGGGATTGGCAAAGTGGGTTTACAGTTGTTCATATGGACAAATACAAATTAATAAATAATACAAGAATAAACTCTTGTACTCACAACTATAAACCTACTTTTGCTGATGCCACATAGCAATAAACTCAAAATGGATTCAACACTTAAGGCTTGAAACCATGAAACTCCTAGAAGAAAACATGGGCGATAAAACCTCTGACATTTCTCTCTTAGCAGTATTTTTTCTTATATATATCCTCAGGGACAGGAACAAAAGAAAAAGTAAACACATGGGACTACATCAAACTAAAAAGTTTTTGCACAGCAAAGGAAACCATCAATGAAACAAAAAAGACAGCCTACTGAATGGGAGAACATATTTACATATGATACATCTGATAAGAATATCAAAAATCTATAAAAAATGTATATAACTTAACATCAGAAAAACAAACAATCCCATTTTAAAATGGGCAGAGGATCTAAGTAGACACTGCTCCAAAGAGAAGAGACAGATGGCCAACAGACATGAAAAGATGCTTGACATCATTAATGGTCAAAGAAATACAAATGAAAACCACAATGAGGTATCTCCTCACTCTTGTCAGAATACTTATTATTAATAAATCAACAAACAGGAACTCCTGGTGAAGATGTGGGAAAAGGGAACCTTTATACATTGTTAGTGGGCACATTGGTGTAGCCACTATGGAAAACAGTACGCAGGTTCATAAAAATTTAAAAATAGAACTACCATATGAACCAGCAATCCAGTTTCCAGTATTTAACCAAAGAAATCCAAGACACTAATTCAAAAAGACACATGCATCCCACTATTTACAATAGCCAAGATATGGATATAACCTAAGTGTCCATCAATAGATGACTAGATAAAGAAGATGTAGTACATATATAAAATGGAGTATTACCCAGCAATTAAAAAAAGGTGAAATCTTACCATTTGCAACACTGTGAATGGACCTAGAGGGAATTATGCTTAGTGAAATTAAGACAGAAAAAGAAAAAACACCATGATTTCACTTACATGTGGAATCTAAAAAACAAAATAAACAAACAAAACAGAAACAGACTGATAGATACAGAGAACAAACTGATGGTTGTTGGAGGGGGCTTAGGGACTGGGTAAAAAGGTGAAAGGATTAAGAAGTACAAAATGACACAAAATAGTCATGAGATGTAAAGTACAGAATAGGGAACAGAGTCAATAATATAACTATGTATGGTGTAAGGTGGATACTAGACTTACTGGGGGAATCACCTCATCAGTTATACAAATATCTAACCATTATGCTGCACACTTGAGACTAATATAAAATTAAATGTCAACGGCAACTTCGAAAATTTTAAAATTAATTTTAAAAAGAAAAATAAAGAAGTATTAAAACTAGACAGAAGTGGTGGCAGTACACTAAATGCTTTTTTGGATTGTTTAAAATGATTTATCCTGTTATATGTATATTTCACCTCAGTAAACAATAAATACATTAAAAAGTTTATTTAAAGTAATGTTTTAATGCTTATTGCCATCTAATACTACAATGGGGGAAGTGCTGTAAAGGGAAAAAGCTGCCTTTTGGAGTAAGACCAACCTTATGTCAAACTATGAAGTTACCTCTTTTTAAAAGCTAAACAAATTTGTACAAATTATGTCTGAAGTTTCTTTTGGGTTTCTTTTTGTTTAGGTGATAGGAATAGAGAAGCATGGGGCGTAGGATGCCAAGGTGTAAAAGTGTTTCCTTAGTAAGTACTGAAATTATTTAATGGGTCAGGACCAGCATTTTTTAAATTCCTTTAAGAAATGGTAAAACATAGTTCAAAGTATTCTCATAAGTTAAAGTATATTTGATGAAAGGTTTAGCTATAGCCTCTAAAGACCTATACTACATGTGGATACAGATGAATGTGTCCACTGAGCCACATGTAAAATACATGACTTATTATGTGTCATGGTCTAAAAATTTAGCTCCTGATTTGAGATAGATCAATCAATATCTAAAGACACTGCCAAATGAATGGATGAACTAAACAAGATTAGAGATATAAAGTGGCTAGCATAAGTATTGCCATTCTATTTTTGGGAATTGTGATTATTTCAGGAAAATAAGTTTTAATCCTAACTTCTAACCTCCAGTCACAGTTAAAAATTTTTTAAAACAATGTATACCTAGTTAAAAATAAGATATGTATCACTTCCAAACAGCTTTTGGGTTCTAACCTATATACTTGTTACTTAGCAAAATCCACCATTACAAATGCATGTCTTCTCATGTAACAATTCTGCTTCAAGGAATTTACCTATAAATATACTCCATATATGTATACATTAAACATGTACAATACTTTGTAACTGCAGCATTACTTAGGTAAAAGCAGAAATTTTAAGCAAACCAAACATCCCCTGGTAGAAACCTTGTTAAACACATTAAAGTATGTCTATACAGTGTTTTCAGTAACAATGAGTAAACCCTTGGAAGAACTCCAAAATATATTAACAGAAGAAAAAGAAAGAAACAGGCCATAAGGAATGGTAACATCTGGGTTAAAAGAAACATTTTTGTGGAAAAAAGTAAAAAGAGGTAAAAGTAAAAAGAATATTTCTGTGTATAGGTAGACTGTTTCTGGAAGAATATATAAAAAACAAGTAAGGGAAAGTAAGCAGTTGGGAGAAAACAGTGAGGAAAAATATATATATATATTTATATCTAGACACACATATACATACACATGCATAAAAATTTAAAACATATTAGCATCAACTAACAAGATGTATTCAACTGATATTTAGAGGGATCAAATTTTTATGTTTACCTATAGGAAGTAAATGGAAAACCAAACTAATATAAAATAGGACAAATACAGGACATGGTCCTCTGTATATAAAAGAAAAGCTGATCTTGAGGTTTAGAAAAGAGTTTTATTCCCTGGCTATTGTTAAAAGTTAAAAATAAACTAGGATAATGTCAAATATTTCTAATCCATCATATCATCTCAATGGAGATGAATAATAACTACCAGTGTCCACTATACTGTTACCTCAAGGGCATCCATTAATTAAGCTAAAAAAGAAAAAAATAATTAGTACTTATTTATTCCAAAGTTAGCCTCTTTCCAATAATGATTAAGGTAAAATGAAATTCTTCCTTCCTTTGACACATGTACACTATATATTAATTTTAATAGCATGTTTTCCATTCAAAACTTTAGTGTTATTAATCATGTAGATAAGTTGCAACCATCCCAAGTCCATGTCATTACAGTTCCAAGACAGAAGTAGAAGAATGTCAATGTAAACACTGACAATTTACAAGGCACTTTTCAGAAACAATAGCATGCAAAATACTAGTGAAGATACGAATGGTGTTTACTCAATAATTCTAAAAACTGAATATGCTGAGCAGTTTTAAGAATTTACCTATTGCAGTAATAGTTTCAAGTACTAATCACAAAAATATAAACAGAAATGAGAAAGACATTTTGACAACATTTAGGTACAACTCAGTGGTATGTATATATGATGTATGCCAGATGAACACAGAACACCTGCGCTTACCTTCTTCTGAAGAACATTAACCTTCCGCTCCTTAACATCCAGCATGTCCTTGAGGTCATGTATTTCACCAGCTTGTGTTCCCTTCTCCTCAGCCATATCCTGAATTTGTTTTGTCTTCTTATTAAGCATGGTTTCCTTTTCTTCCAAACGCAATCGAAGAGCATCCACCTGAGAATGTAAGATTTTTACAAATGATAAAGAGAACTCCCTCCAAATACATGTGTTTAGTTGCCTAAATGCTACTTTAGAACTTTCATTAGAATCAAATAAAATGCTACTCTAAAAATAACTATTACTATTTAGAAATTAACCTTAAAATTTTGTGAGTGCTTTTATAATAAAAATAAAATTTATATCCATTAAATTACCATCAGATGACAGCAGGATAAATAAATCTGAATCAAGAAGATAAAATGGAGAATTGTTACAAAGCTGTTGAGTTTTGCTATTTCTATAAAAGTAGCATAATCTAGAACTAAGTTTCTCAAACTTTATGTGCATTAGAATCACTTGGAGCGTTTAAACAGACTGCCTGTCAAGACATCAGAGTTTCTGTTTCAGGAGGGTTGGGGCTCAAGAATTAGCATTTCTAATTTCTGTTCCCAAATGATACTACACTGCTCTATAAAATCTAATACTGGAAAGAAACCATAAGCATTACCAAGCATGACACTTGCTGTATCAGATAATACAATCTCGCAAGAAGACATGATGCTTTAAGTCAATCCCGTAATGCACTTAGATATGTGTACAAGGCAAAGCAAAGGTCTACTTTCAGGTCACAAGACTAGTCAGCTGAAGTCTCATATCCAGTTCCCTTTTTTCCCAAAGTTGAACAGCTTTTGTTGGATATAACTGTAAAATAACTAGACATCTAATGATAAAACTTATTTTTAAATCTACCCACAGCAAATTTCTTTAAGCATTCTCATATACCAAAATTTTTTTTCAGTTTTTTGCTTTTCCACTAAGAATTTATAATTCAACAAGTAGTTACACATTTGGTTACAGTAAAAAAAAGGGCGGTAGATTCCTTACATATTAAGAAAGTGCTGTTCAGTGGGAATATGAGTCATATATGAAAGTCACATATGAAATTTTAAATATTCTGTGATAATAGCTACATTAAAAAGGAAAAAAGGAACAGGCAAAATTAATTTTAATAATATATTTTATTTAAACTAACCTATCACAATGTTGTCATTTCAAATGTTTAATCCATATAAAAAACTATTCATGAGCTATTTCATATTCTTTCTTTCACTGTCTTCAAAGTCCAACGCATACTGTATTATCACATCTCAGTTTGGACTAGCCATATTTTGAGTGCTCAATAAATACATGTGGCTGGTAGCTACCGAACTGACAGTGCAAATCTAAGACATCAAGCATGTTTCTGTAAAACATCTTTAATCTTGAACTTGTCCTGTAATATTGTTCGTATCTGAGTATGGATTAACCAACAAAGAAAACAGGTAATATAGATAATGACTCATATTTAGAGTAGAGCAAAACTCTCAAGAAAGATGCAATATTGTAACGAAACTATAAGTTATCTGAGAACCAATACTGTGTGTATTTTGGTAATGATTGCTCATTATTACAGAAAATGTCCTAGGTGACTAGTCTCATTTACGACTGCTATAGTTAAGTCATTATGTACTTACAAATCACATTGAACTATGCTGGAAAGGAAAAAATGTAAATTAACCAGCTTTCACTCTGTTATACTACATTTCTACCAACCACTTAAATGCCATCAAGCCAGAAATTGGGGAAGCAATCACTTTGGGTACCACTTATAATTCTTCACAAACCCTATCAATAAACCCTCTTTAACCTCTAATATTCCTCTACTTTACCTTAATAAATGATACATGGTTAACCATGTTATTTTCTGGAAGGGTCCACCTAAGAACTTTCAAACTCTGAAAATCTTATTTTTGAAACAATTCTTTTCTTTCTTCCATGACTACTAAATATATTCTTTGTCCACAAGGTAACCTCTGATCTATCATCCCTATCTTTTTCGTTATTGATCTCTATTCTGGTTTCCCTTGTTTTTCTCCTAGCCTGAGCAATCCTCTCAAATACAGCCTCATATCATCCCTTTTTGGTCATATTTATTTTACAAATATTGAATTCTATATTAAACCATTTTCATTCTATCTTTTAACTTCTGAACCCTCCTGTATATGGTCATATACTCATATGCTTGCCAATTGTAAACACAGTGTATTAAAAATTCTCACAAATTCTATCCTCAAGCATTCTCCCTGTGGAAAATTTCACTCTCCCATGGCCACCTGGGAAACTAGGCCTTAGAGAGGAGAGCAGGCCCAAGATATCAGAGCTATAAATAAGTGACAGAACAGGAATTTAAGATTAAATGGTCTGTCTACAGATTCTACAATCATAATCACTAAGTCTGAATTACACTCCTCCCTCAGAGCTAGACAAAAAGAGTATATAGTGTATGATTTCATATATATAAAATTCTAGAAAATGCAAACTAATTGCAGTAATAGAAAGCAGATAATGGGTTTCAAGGGATTGAAGGAGGAAGAGGGGAATAGTGAAGAATATCAGAGAGGGGCAAGAGAAAGGATCACAAAGAGGTACAAGAAAACTTTAGGGATAGTATTATCTTGAGTGTGGTATTGAATTTACAGGTGCATATGTCAAAACTTACCAAATTGTACATTTCAAATATATGCAATGTATGTCAATACATTTGTGCAGTTTTTTTCAAAGCAAAATTAGAAAGCATAGTATTACTATAGGAATGAGGCAATAGCCCTCTGCAACAGAACTCAGCTGCAGATTCACACATATGTAAAACAGAGGTGACACTGTAATCAGTGAAAAGAAGACAATAGAGTATTCAGTAAATTGTTTATAGAGAACTGACTACCCATATTGAGAGTGGGGCAAAAATCCCTAACTCATATAATACACAGAAATGAATTCTGGGTGAATTAAAGGTTTATGTAAGAGAAGCAAATCTTTAAAACTTCTAAAAGGAAATATAAGAAAATACTTTTAGAACATCGATGCATGAAAGGATTTTTTTTTAAGTCACAAAAGAGATATATCATGAAGAAAAAATATTGATAAATCTGGCTAGGTTAAATTTAAAACTTCTGCACATCATGATACCATTTTAGTATTTATTATTTTATCTAACAGAAATCAGATTGATGGTTGCCAGAATGGAGAGGGGCTGGGGGACTGGGTGGAAAAGGTGAAGGGATTAAGAAGTACAAATTGATAGTCACAAAATACTCACAGGATGTAAAGTAGAGCATACTGTAATAACTATGTACAGTGCCATGTGAGTACGTGAAATATCAGGGGAACCACTTTGTAAAGTATCTGATTGTCTAAACACTATGCTGTGCACCTGCAACTAATACAAAATAATACTGAATACAAGCTGCAATTGAAAAAAATAAATAAGTAAAATGTAGAAATTTTGTGAACTGGCCAAAATTAAATATGACTCAATATTAAACTTCAGTTTTCAAAGCTTATGACCATTTACCATTGCTCCCCCAAAATTCAGTACTTAGGTATAAATTTAACAGAAGATGTATATAATCTATCTGTTGAAAATTACAAACAGCAAATGAAAGATATCCAAGAATATGATATGGACGGTAAACTTGACGTGTTAAGATAGCAGTCTACTTAAAGTTTTCGTCAGAGACAAGGACACAGAAAAGAATATTCAGCAGTGATTTTTTTTTAAATGCATTTTACTGACATATAGCAGAACCACAATAAGCCAAGCCCAGTGAATCCAAGAGATGTTACACTAAAAAGGTCCAGTTTGGGTGCCCAAATTCAGCACTGAAAACCTCAGCACAAGAATTAAAATCCAATGGAAAGATGAATTATGTGATTTACCGAGTTTTCTAATGATCCTTTCTATAGTGCAAGAAAACAAAATCTTTAAGCTTTCCTCAGTTGCTTTTCATGAAATGCAGAATTTAAATGTGCTGGTCCAGAGCTCTGACATAAAACAACCACAAAAACCACTTAGCTACTACTATATTAATTGCTCTAAATTCTAAACTGATTTTTTGGTTTGGAGTGAATTAAAATTCATAGTATAATTTTGTGTGAGGTCCTTATTTTCCAGACCACAAAAAACATACTCAAGAAAGCACATCAGAGACTAGCAGGACACAGTCATCACCCTAACACCGTTCCCAGCAGGAGGAGTAAGACCTTGTTTATTCACATCAACTGTGCTGGAGTAGCAGCATGCACCCAGCACATACATGCACATATATACATGCATGTATATATACATACATACTTTTTAAAATATCTTCTTTATTCATTCACCTATCATGGACACCTAGGTTGCTTCCATATCTTGGCTATTGTATGTAATACTCTAATAAACATACAGAAACATTTCTCCAAAGAAGACATACATTAATAGATGGCCAACAGACAAAATGTAAAGATGCTCAACATCACTAACCATCAGAGAAACATAAATCAAAACGATAATGAGATATGACCTCACATGAGCCAGAATAGCTATTATTAAAAAGTCAACAAATAACATGTGTTGGCAAAGATTTGAGAACAGGGACACTTTGTGCACTGTTGATAGGAATACAAACTGGTTGGCCCCTATAGGAAACAATGTGGAGATTCCTCAAAAAGCTAAATATATGATCCAGCAATTCCACTTGTGAGTATTTATCCAAAAAACAAACAAACAAACAAAAAAACAAGTAAGCCTTTTTAAAAAGGCTATTTCAACAAACTACATTAAGCTCTGTTTGATGCCACATACATGACAAAAACCTGAAGAGCTCAGAAAAATATCAAAAAGACCATTTCACAGTACAGTTTAATTGTACTTTGTTGACCAAAAATAAAGCTGCAAATTTATATAATCTAAAAAACCAACATTAACATCATCTCCACCCACTTTCCCTTAAAAATGTAGAGCAAACAAAAAAGACACAAATTGGCTATATAAAGTATATACTGTAATAAGCTATGCATCCCCAGCGGAAATGTTAATACTCTTGGTCTCTGCAAATCCAATAAAGCAGCCAGCCAACCTAGTTCTATCTTGACCCCTCTAAGCCAACACGTCAGTAATATCAGAATTAATATCAACTTAGCCTTAAAGCCCTGTC